CTTGCCCTGGGTCACTCTCTCTCCTGGTCTCTCTCGCCCTGGGTCACTCTCCCCTGGTCTCTCTCGCCCCCGGTCACTCTCCCCTGGTCTCTCTCACCCCCGATCACTCTCCCCTGGTCTCTCTCGCCCCCGGTCACTCTCCCCTGGTCTCTCTCACCCCCGATCACTCTCCCCTGGTCTCTCTCTCCCAGGCTCTGGGCTGTGCAGGGGAGATTCCGGATGTGAGTCTATGTCAGTACCTGGACCAGCTGATCGGACAGTTCTGCTTCTACAATGGCCCAGTGAGGCAGAGCTACCAGGTATTGGAATGGGCCAGCCAGTCACAGTATGCCTGGATACTATAAGAACAGGTCCCTTACCCCTCTCCCCCCCTCAGGAGCGCCCCCGCGAGGAGCTGGCAGTGCAGTGGGCGCAGTACCTTGCTCAACTACAGGGCGGCAGCACTGAGCTCCAGCAGGTCTTCACCTCGCTGCACACCATCGACTGCACCCAGGTACTGAGGAGGGGATAAAAAGACAGGGAGGGTTGGGGGACTGGATAGTGTCAGAGGGGAGGTGGGATATTTAATAGCAGCAGGACTTTGTGAGTGATGCCTCTCTCCTCTCGAGCAGATTGACCCCCTGCTGCTCCTGAAGGCAGCTCTGATTCTGCAGGCGTGTCAGCGCTGCCCCTTGGTGTTGGCTGGCTGCATTCTCTACAGAGGCAGGTGGGTTGGCCTGCGGGTGAGACAGAGTGAGCACACACTGGGACACACACACATCATAAACTGGAATGCTGCAGAACCCAGAACAGACAATACACACTAACTGAATATCTGACCGGGGTGAGAAACAGCCTGATGAAGTACAGGCTCAGTGACCACAGCCTGGCCATAGAAACTGGGCGACACAGGCAGACCTGGCTGCCCAGAGAGGACAGGCTCAGTGACCACAGCCTGGCCATAGAAACTGGAGACAGACAGACCTGGCTGCCCAGAGAGGACAGGCTAAGCTCCCACTGCCAGCGGGGAGAAATAGAGACAGAGGTGCACTTCCTACTTCACTGTGAGAAATACTCTGGGATCAGAGAAACATTCTTCCCTAAATTTACAAATCTAATCCCAGAGTTCCCACATCTGCCAGAATCACCACAGCTGCCAGTCCTACTGGGAGAGGTTAAACTGGCAGCCCAGTAGGAGACCTGCTGTCACTGCC